AGCGGTCCTGGGGCGCGGCGGAGATGGATCTGCTGCGGGAGGTCGTTCCGGGGGCCCTGCACCGCTGTGGGAGGCTCGCCGCGACGGTCCTCGACTACGCGCCCCTCTCCCAGTACATTATCCTCAACCGGGCCCCGCGGCAGGCCCCTCCACCGCTCATTCCGCCCCAGACCTCTTCGCTTTTTTCGTCGAAGGGGGAGGAGGGCGCGTCCGCGGCTTTCCCTCCAGCCCGACGACGAACCATCTTTTCATTTTCGTCCTTGGCAAAGGGCGGCAAGGGTTCCATGGGGGAAGTTCTCCCGGAGAAAACGCTTCAGAAGACCGCATCGGACTCTGGCATGCGTTTTCATTCTCCTTTTCACGGTGAAGCCGTTGATCGGGGCGGCGCCAAGCTCCAAGCGACGTTTACGCGGAAACGACCTTGCAGTGAGCTACGCTACCGCCTACTAAAACAAGGACTACCTGCCACTGTGGGACACCGTGAGGATTCATTTTTTATCGTTCGTGAAAATTCACTCTACGACGATGAATTTCTCGCGTACGAAGACCTTGAGGATTTAGGGGAGCCCGATGTTGAGAGTGGGACGTTTTTGCCTTTGATTCCAGAAGGCGAGATTATTGAGGACTACAGCGACTAAATAGGAACCAACAACGTTTGAGAGGAATGGAATGATGTTAACGACTCTGAGTATTGGGGCCTTGTTTTTTTATTTCAATTTCCAGCTACATGTTTTTGTGCATTACTATTATCTATTGGTTTGTGATTATTACTTACATGAGCATTTAAGATGCTATACCAGTTTTCTTAAATAATCCGGTATATTATTTATCATTGAATTCTATGCGCTTTTTTACTTCTATGAATCCGATGACATCGCACTTGTATTTGCGCTCACATATTTACATACATCAGAATACAACAATGACTATCCTTAACGAAGGTGCGCAAAGGAAGAGAAGACGTCATGTGTACACCCAAGCAGAGCAGCGTTTACGATGGAACATTAGCGTAACACACCCGCATTTCGTTCATAACTCCCCACCTATCCCTAAAGCAATGAAATGTGTCTATTTCACTGCTTAAGTCTGACCATTGTCCTCCTTTTTTTCCCTACCTGTTGCAATTATTCCCTCAGGTCTTGTAGCGGATTCCGATTTGGATTATCACAACACCCATTCCAATCCGATCCTCACACCTTCCTTTGGGACATTTACTCCCACGCCGCCCACTGTGATCCCCTACTCGTTCACAAAAGGTTTTGTGATGTCGACGCCGTCGGAGTCAGAGGTCCCCTCCTCTCCTCCCCCTTTGGTGAACCTTCTCATTTTGATCACCGGAAGCGTGGCCGCGGTGAAGACGGGGCTTTTGCTGGACGCCCTCTCGAAGGAGCGCTGCACCATCCGCATCGCGGCGACGACCCCTGCCTTTCATTTCCTCCACCGCGCCCAGCCCTCGCAGACGGGGATCCCCTTCCAGAGCATCCTCACCGACGCCCAGGAGTGGGCGGGATGGCAGCGGGTGAACGACGCCGTCATCCACATCGAGCTCCGGCGGTGGGCCGACCTTGTGGTGTTGGCCCCGCTCGACGCAAACACGCTGGGGAAGCTCGCGTGTGGGCTCTGCGATAACCTCGTCAGCTGTGTGATGCGGGCGTGGGAGGTGGGGCGGAAGCCGGTCATCCTCTGCCCCGCGATGAATAGCGCGATGTGGGCCCACCCCATCACCGCGCAGCATTTGGAGACGCTGCGATGGTGGTACGGCGTCGAGAGCGCCGAAGATGCGGTTTCGGCGGAACACCCCTTCCCGACGACTCTCGAGGGGGCCATGTTTCAGCTCATGAATCCCGTTTCGAAGCGACTGGCCTGCGGGGATATCGGCATCGGCGGCATGGCATCGCCAGAGGATATCGCGGCGGTCATATCACATACTATGGCACTAATACGAGAAAGAAAACTGAACGAGACAGCGGAATCGTCGCTGAGGGAATGACGGGAAGACTTGTGTGTACCTCTAGTGCGATGCCGATGGGCTTGAAGTTTATTTGGAAAGAAATACATTGTTGATATAAATCAATAACGTTTTCCTTATTTGCTTAGAAATAATTTTAAATCATTATTATATATGCGGTTATGTATCGAATATATTTATACCATATTATTTTAAACATTTTTTTTAAAAGCGCTCTTTAGTAATTCCAATAAATAAGTGATATGATATTTTTAACATATACGCAAAGGTAAAATAGTCCAATAACATGTGGTATGCACTTTAGCATTGATCTTTTGGTGCATTTTCTCGATTTTACTGATGGAACAAATAATAAAACTACGCTTTAATTTTGTTCACTTTTTTTATTAAAAAAAAATATACGTCGATTGATATCAATTCAACGGTAAAGGAAACGAGTCTCTATATCTATTTCTTTTGAAGAGGATGCCTCAAAATTCTAGCACATCGCCTAAACTAGTCACTGATAATGTGACTGGGGGGAAAAAGCGAAGAAAGGTTGATCGGGATTTCGTTTTTGAAAACTATCCGAGCCGTATGATCGCACTACGTTTAGCCTACCACGGGCACGTGCATGACGGCCTCGCGAAACAGGAGGAGACGGCTAACACCGTCGAAGGCATCGTCTGCGAGGCCCTTAAGCGCCTCCGACTGATTCCGCAAAGCGGTCCGGAGAAGTTTGGCCGATGTGGGCGCACAGACAAGGGTGTTAGTGCCCTTGGGAACGTCTTTTCGCTAAAGGCAAGGGCGAGTTCGTTTCCGGACGATCCGGTGCAGAAGCCACCGCTCGATTACGGCAATATGCTGAACAACATCCTTCCACCGACGATCCGCATTGTGGGGTTTTCGCATGTTCCCGACACCTTCGACGCACGCTTTTCCTGCATTAGTCGGACCTATCGCTATTACTTTGCGCATCGTGGACTAAACCTCGACGCAATGGTGCGCGCCGCGAGCTACTTTCTTGGGACGCATAACTTCCGCAACTTTTGTAAGGTTGACGTCGTGAATGTGAGCAACTTCGAGCGCTGCGTTAGCTCGGTTGGGATCTACCGCAGTGAGTACCTGCCGGAGATGATCTCTTTCTTCGAAATCACGGCGAACTCCTTTCTGTATCACCAAATCCGGTGTACGATGGAGGTTCTCTTCCTTGTCGGACGTGGGTTAGAATCCCCCGAAGTGGTTCGCGAGCTTCTAGATCGTGGCGATGAAAAGCCGGTCTACCCCTTGGCGGATGCCACCCCACTTATTCTCTGGGATACCGGGTTTAAGGACATCAAGTGGCAGTTCTCCCGTCGCGCCTTCGAGAACGTAGTGCACGAACTACAGGACATCTGCACGGCGCTGTTGATCCGGGCGACCGCCGCGGAGGCGATGAGGCGGCAGCTCTTTACGTGGTATCACGGACTTGAGGACTGCACGGAGACCGAGACGTCTTCTTCGCGGCTGATCGTCCGCGGGCCATGTGATTCCGTGGATGATAAGACTCCAATGGATGCGTGGAACATCACGGGGTGCGATTGGACGGAGCCTCGCACCCACGCCAACCTCAAGGTTCGCAGGTACAATTTATACCGCCTAATTCAGTCCAGGGATGAGCTCTGTGAACAAGAACAGCAACAGCATCCGAAGGAAAACTTTTCGAAGGCGGTTCGCACCGATGCAGGTCTTGCAGATGGTGAAGAAGGTCATACTCACATTCAAGAAAGTAACGGTGCTTTGCATCCTCTTCAAAATGGATACGTACCCCTTCTCGAACGCAAAACTGTGCGCACGTATCAAGAGCAGGTGGGTATGCTTACTGGGAAGAAGAAGGCTCGATACAAAGTTAATGAGGATAAAAAAGCAATGGGAGTCAAGCGTAATGCTGACAAATGCGAACATCAGCAAGGTTAACCCTTAGAAAAGGTGTAGACCTAAACTCAAATTGGTGTTTTCTTTTCAGATGAGAAAGCTTGCGTTTTCTCTCTGTGTATTCCACCTTAACTCTTTAAAGATTCATCAAAACTAGTCTTTCCCTCCAACTTCTTCCAAAGGAAGATATATGGGCTCTAAAGAATCCCTTAAACATGTGTATAAACATAACCATAATATGCACATTTAATAGGTGAGTGTTTGGGAAGCGAAATTACAAGAGGCCGTGTGAGAGGGTTGAATTGTGTTCCAAAGAAACTCATTCACTTTTTCAACCTGTGTAAAAGGATATCCGAAACTTATTTAGTGTTTCACCATCTCCTCTTATATTTCTTTGTCTAATTAATTTGTATGTAGGATTTTTTAATCGAATACTAACACTAGAAATATTAATAACTTCTGCTTGCATGCACGCAGAGTCTAGTATACCCTCTTTAGAAAAAGTTTTTATACTCCTTGTAGGCTTAGATGCTACTATACGCTGTTATTCACTAGATCGCCCGCAGTCCCCTCGCTGGTGCGTTCCTATTCCTCTGAATAGCGAACGACGGGGTGGGATGACGAGCCCAGAAAGTTCCATGGCATCACTTGCGCAGTGTGTGTGTAGTTTCTCAGGAGGCGCGAAGTCCAAGACGCTTGACGCCAACACCGCACTTTCCCAGAAAAAGACGACTCGGGTTGATCGCTCCTTGGATGACCATCCCCTGCCCGGTTTTTCGCAGATACCTTCCCAACCGGGGCTGGATTGTAGCCCTTCTGGGCAAACCGGGTGGCCTCCCCCCCCAGGCCGGAGCGCTGCCAGTGCGTGGGCGCGCGAGGTGAACTGGATGCGGCGGGTGCTTCATCCCTTGAATTGGCTTGCCGTACTCGCGCCGTCCTGCACGCAGCCTCCCCTCGCCACGTTTTCCATGGGGGATCCGCTCGATACGGGCCATTTTGTCGAAACCCCCACGTCTCGCTCGCAGGAACGGCGAGGGGCACGGTGGTTTTGGCTTCATCCCCGCCGGGGATGGATCCCATATCAAACAGCGCAAAGAGAGTGGGATCGATTAGGCAGTCAAGGGGGTGAAAATCCGAAGCCCTCCTATCGAATTCTATCCCTGCGCAGGACAGAAGAGACCTATTTGGAAGTGGACGTGTGGTCGGGCACATGGCACATGGCTTCCCTTGAGGATGACGCCAGCGAAGGGACTGAGGGGATTTGGCATATGATGCCTTCGTCCCTTTCACTCAATTCAAGGAGTTCGAGCATGTGCGATGGCGTCACTCATCAGAGACGTGTCATTATGGGAATTCACGTTCTAACTAGCGTAGTCCAACTCTCCTGGTATGAAAAATTTGCAATTCAGGAAAGACGTTCCCTTAGGCATCAAATTCATCTCATAGATCATACACTTGACTTGGAAATATTAACAAAGGAACCCATCCACAACGATACTAGCAGCGGAGCCAATAGTATTATGAGTCGACGATTATCAAGTTCCGCTCTAATCTTAAGAAATGTTAGGGAAGGAAGTCCACACAGCAGCGATGAGTGTCTCTCCGCGGAGTCTGATGCTCATATGCGTTACTTTCGTCCTCGTTCATTATCTAAGTCGATGGCGTCGCCTGTGGTGATCATGTTCAAACAGGAAGGCTCTCCGCAATCCGATTCAGATTCAAAAACTCAGAATATTCTTATCACGTGGTTATCGAGTCCGAGTGACATTCCTGTTATGCCGGAGCACGGCGTGACTCTCGGGCAAACCATGGGATTGGCTATTGTGGGCGCCTTTATGCTGGACTTTCGCCTTTGTGATGAGGGGCGTTTTACTCAATTATCTGTATTTCAGAACTTAGAAGATGCTACACACGCTAACACTTCTCCGCTACTTTCAGATCATATTCTTGTTCCATATTCAAATAAACGGCCCATACAGCCTCATGTTATGATATTGACCTCTAAGAACTTCGCAAGCCGACAAACGATGAGGTTCGAAATGCCTAGCAGTTCAATAGCCCCGTTGAGACGAACCACCTTGACCGATGATCACAATGGAGGGTCACACCTTATTACGTACGTGACCACCTCCAGTGACAGCGACCGCGATGGCTACACAAGCATAACGGAGTTCTCCTATCCCAAAACGGTGAAGTCCGCGAGGCGCACCTCTTCGTGCGAGTGCTTCCCCCACATCGTCAAGAGTGTCTTACCCCAAGAGCAGCCCAACGCCGAGCCGATCAGCTCCTTCTTCGATGAAAACTTTGACCCCTTGCTGCTGTTAGGCTCGGGAGGCTTTGGTGCCGTGCTGCTCGCGCGAAATCGCCTGACCAAGGTCCTCTACGCGATCAAAGTCCTCATCGTACGGGATTACGAGAGCGAGAAGGACGTGCTGCAGGAAGTGCGCGTGCACGCGATGCTGAGCGACCCGCACCT